TAATGGACAAACTAAGTCTAAAATTAAATAGTTAATGGACAAACTTAAGTCTAAAATTAAATAGTTTAAGCCACTTTATAGAATGAATATATTATAAGGAACACATGAAATTTTGCTGATTTCAGAAGTCAAAAATGGACAGTGAAAAATTCAGGAATCTAATTGGCATGTACTTAGTAGATGCTGCATATTCATCATTGGTCAAAAATGGTCACAATAACAGTCACTGTCAGACTAGAATAGATCGCATAAATTCTTCCAAATCATGACAAAGTGATAAAATAATATTTTCATCGGAAAAAGAAATACAGTCTAAACACAAATCCTGAACTTGAGCAGTTTCACAAATACTGGCACATGTAAATACAGAAAATCTGTGGCAAAATGTCATAAAGTTCACTTTAAAGAGTTTGCAAGGATATTAGGCTTGATTTCAAGTCTTTATTCTATCAGTGACAGTTGTTTATGGTAGAACTACTTGCCATAAGATAACAAGTCACTTACAGGGGAGATAACTCACCTTTTGCCTGTGGAAGGCCCTCGCATCGACAGTACAGGCTGCAGTAGCTGCTTGTTTAACAACATCTCCAACTGGTTACAAATCCCAAGGAGACCAAAGTCTGTTTCGCCCTCGGGTGTGGAGGTGTCATTGTGCCCCTCGGCTGCTTCCAGATGTGCAATATGATCTAGAATGTTTTTCAGCGGCTCTTTGTCTACCTTATTTCCCTTGTTTTTGTTGTCACGCCACATGACAGACTCGGAGTTGTTTTCAATGTGTTTCCGTGAGAAACCGTTGAGTAGGAGTTCATCAAGGTCCTGGGAGTCGTTTAGATCTAAGATGGTGGACGACCTCGTATTTGGCGACTTGTCACGTTTCTTTGACTTGTTCAAGTAGCGATTGTTCTCCTGGTGAGGATTACGTTTGCTGGCATATATGTGACGGTTGCCCATCATATCGTCCTGATTGGCCGGGATCTCGCCGTACTGTAATAGGATGCGATGTTTGAGTTGGTTTCCCTTCACGTTGAAGTAGTCAAGGTGATGCATCTGGTCGATAACCTGAGGGAAACTGACCAACTTGTTATTACCCAGATCTAAGACGCGCAAGTTCTTCAGATGGACGAGGTCCTGCGACACATACTTGATTTGGTTGTTGCTTAGACGTAAACTCTCCAGCTTTGTCAAGGCGTAGACACCCATCGGAATGTTCTCCAGGAAGTTGTTGCTGGCGTTGAGGTTTTTCAGTCGTGTCATACCCACCAGTGAAACGTTGTACAGGTGATTGTTTGACATGTTCAGGTATTGAAGATTCTTGAACGAGTTTGGCAAGTTTGACAGCCTGTTGCCCTGTATGTGAAGTATGCTTAGGTTTGGCAGGCCTTGTATGTGATGCTGAATGTATTTGATGTCATTGGCAGCAATGTTGAGGAACCGAAGCTCTTTTATTTTGTAGATAATAACAGGTATGGTGTCGAATTTGTTGTAACTCAAGTTCAACTCACGGAGATTTTTCAGAGATTCGAAATCAGGAGATAAGCTCTTAAGACTGTTCCCTCTCAGATTTAACAGTTTTAAAGATGAGACTTGACATATAGGAATGGGCAGGTGTTCAAATTTGTTGTCCGCAAGATTCAGGAATTTCAATTTTCGAAGACCATGCATTGAAAACGGCAGGTACCAAATACGGTTTCTTTGAAGATCAAGATAAGTCAGGTTTTGTAGCTGTCCCACATCATGAGGTAGACTCACAAATTCGTTTTGTCCTAGTTTCAGAATACGAAGATTCTTCAAGGAGTCTATATTTCGTGGAAGATTCGAAAGTTTGTTTCTCGTGAGATTGATCTCGGTGAGGTGGGAACAGTTTGTAAGGGTGTCTGGTACCAATTGTATCTTGTTTTCCTGTAAAAGGAGAATCCGTAGTCCACGGAGACGTGCAAGAGATGCAGGAATTTCACTCAGGGAATTATGGGATACATTCAGGACCTCGAGACGTGTAAAATAAGAGATGTCCTGTGGGAGAGTGGTTAAGCCCTGGCCTGATAGATTCAGTTCCACATATCCCTTGTGGTTACAATTGATGTGTAGGCGGAGGAGGCGAGGGGCCTCGTACAGAACACGGGACTGTCGTGATATTGGACCCCGCGATCGAGACTTAGAACGTGACTGGCGTCTCTGTCGCCATGAAGAATATCCTGAGCTGAAAGCTGATTTCGACATCCTGTTTTGTAATATAAAAGGAAAAAGTTGCATGTTGGGAAAAATTCATTAGATTAGCGCCGTGTCAAAAATACATAAGTTTTAAAACTGATAATTATGAGAAGTTTGTGTATTCATTACGATTTTACAGCTGTATTTCTACTCAAGTGTTCAGTAATCATATCCAGAATTGTGTTGTCATTCTTTACCTTTCTAGATGATCCTGGTATGTAAAAGTATTACAGAAAGCAATGTTTTACATACATGCAATGCCTGCATAAACATTTGTAGGTCCGCCAGGATTTATACCCTACTCCTTTGTCTAACATTGACATTAATTTGCATTGGAATCGTCATTTTCTAATTTCAGATTTATAAAATAATACAAATACCTTCCATCATGGCTCACTGTGATTAGTTCGTTGTTATATATATTAAATACAATAAATGGTATTATAAGCTTGATAAATAAATTAATTATAAAAATGCAATCAAAAATTGCTAAGGTCAGAAAATCCAAAAGATAATATGAAATGTTTCTGTGTACTTTTCTTTTGTGGTTTGAAGCTATTTAAAACCCTTTCACCACTGTAGACCAAAATGGACTCATCCAGATCAAT